ATTGGGATCATGATAGTGGGAGAGGGGAGGAAGCATTTAGGAACTAGAGGAAAGTTGTATGTTTCATCGTTGCTACACTGCACCCTGACTGGCTGGTCTCCTCCCTGCGACCCTAATTATTAGAAATTGAGGGCTAGGAGCATATCTGTGTGCTACTGGGATTTAGTGGATAGAAGCCAGGGATGCTGCTAAACCCTCCCATCATGCACAGGGCGGTCCTACCCAACCAGGCCAAATTGTCAGTTTTGTGTATTTGAAGTTCAAACATGTTTCCCCCCATGAGCTAACTCCATCTACAGAAAGGTTTGTTTTTTCCCCACATACTATTTTGATAGGATTTATTAATTGTCAACATGTAAATGTCTGGCTTCTGTAGAAAACATGGTTGAGCTGACAGTACAGGGCCTGTGTCTCAACAGGGTTTATGGCTCCATTCTCTGCTGTCCTCCTGTCTTAGACCCAGGCCACTGACCTCGTGAATGGTTCCTGTCCAGCCTCAGGGTGAGACAGTAAGAACCTTTCCACCGGGAGCTCCTTTTGTATTTCCTTGAACCAAAAGGAACAAGGAACAAGAGGAGCCGGGACAAAAACAACCAGTTTTGCCTGTGTTGACTTGACTCCAAGTGAACTGTTAATCGCAAGAAGTTATTTAAGTGTGTTGACTAAGCAGGTGATTTGAGGTCTTCCATTAATTCAAAAGACAGTTCCTCCAGTTCTTTCCCGAGGCTTGTAGGCTACTCTAGAGAGTCTTCTAACTCCTGTGGATCCTTTATGCTGAGCCTTGTAATTTCATGGATGCTGAAGAATAAAGCATTATGAAATAAATAAGAATTAAAGGAACCATTATGTAAGGTCTCTAATGAGATTTTCATTATTTTATATAGGGTATAAAGGAAAATCCAGGGGGAAATGGGGATAGAAGTCAGGAGGGGCCATTGGGATGTAAGAAACAAACCAAAATTGAGAGTAACGGAGACAGTGCTACTCTCTCCTTGACTTTCATAACATCAAAGCGGTTAGGGAAGAGGTGGTACTTACTACTCAATTACTTTTAAGGGGAAACATAAAAAAAACTTCACTGCCATCTAGTTAATGCCGACTCATAGCGATCCCATAGGACAGGGCAGTACTGCCCCTGTGAGTTTCTGAGGCGGTAACTGTTTGTGGAAGTAGAAAGACCTATCTTCCTCCCGATTTTTAAGGAGTGCCAGAAGTTTTCTCATTTTAGCTTTTCAGAAGTGATGTGGAAATACCTCTGACTCACAGCATTGGAGTTGGAAATGTTTCTGTTTCAAATGAAAGGGGTTCAAACCTAAGATAGACACTGGTTATATTTTATCCACAACTACTCTCCAAGTGTTTTGCTTGGAGATCTGTATATAAATACAGGGATATGCTTTCAACAGTGATGGCGGTCCCACTGGCATCCCCAGGCATGGCAATCTAGCGGCGGGATGGTAGCATCTCCTTACCTGGGGGAGTCACGGGCTCCAGAGTCCATCTCCCCTGGCAGGGCTCCAGTGCTTTGGCCCTGCTGCTTCACGAAGGCTTCATCCAGCCCCGCTTGCTTGAGGGTGTCTCGGTACCGCTGCTCTGCTCCTCTCCTGGCAAGGTCCTGTAGACCGGAGCTCCATCTGCTGCAGGAGCTGCTTCTGACAGTATCCCGCCCTCCCACAGCCCTTTGCTGTTGGCAACCCGGCCCAGGTCTGCAGGCAAATTCCTGAGACACCCTGGTTTCCAAGAAGCACCTGAGGCTCCTGTTTAAATGCAGGTTTTCATTTGATCAAAGGGGACGTGCAGGTAGTAGTGCCTTGCTAACAACACTCCCCAGGAGATCTAGGAACCACAGCGAGAAGCTAGGAACTAGATCTGGGAGAGGCCATGTGAATTCTAGATGAAAAAGGCTTAAAAACATTCTAAGGTAAAAAAATATATACAGCAAGATTTAAAAGTAATAAACCATCATTAGGAACACTCTTAACAAGTGCGGGCTCTTCATTTGTGATCATTAAGTGATCAAGAATGAGATCAGAACAAGTACTTTATATTCAAGTGGCGAAGAGCTGTTGAGATCAGAAAGGGCTTTCTTGAAACGACATAAAGAGGAAAGGTTAGTGTGAGATTTATAACAATACAGGTTGCAAAGGAAAGCCCAGTGAGTGTGTATACAGGTGAGCATGCACCTACATGTGCATGCCTGCGCTGGACAGGATGGACCAAGCGAATGCCTACATAATGCACTGGCTAGGGTGTTGTTAGGTGCTATTGAGCAGGTTCTGACCCATAGCAACCTTGTGTCCAATAGAACGAAACACTGCCCGGTCCTGCGCCACACAGGGCTAGCTGTTTCCCCGAAATGGAACCAGCTTATTAGAGGACCCCCCACTCCCCCAACTTCGAAGTTTGGGAGAGGAGAGAGACCCATGGAGGTTGCTACAGCCCCAAGCTGCTTGGGTGGCAGCCTTTCTAGGCTCCTTGGAAGATCTCAACGGAGTCCAATTTTCCCTAAAAGTTGAGAGACCATCTTAACCCAGTTCTTCCTGTCTGAAAGGTTTTCTGATCTGGAAAGGAGGACCCAAGGCCAGAGGGAGGGAAGGCCTGGCACTGCTGGAGGGGAGGGGCCTGCCCAGCACTGCAAACCGTGGTTCGTCAGGCGGACTTTAGTCACGGAAGTGAAACATCTTCCTAGCGGCCAAATGCACTGCCTCGGTGGGGTCCAGCCTCCACGCTGACGCCATCTGAAAGCTAGACTCATGGGAAACTGGAGTGAAGTATCCCGTTAGGCCACAGAAGTCCAGGCTTGGAAGAAATCAGTCAAAACAACATTCCCCATCACACTGCCTTTTGCAGGGGGCGGTGGCGGTAGATGGTAACAATAAGGCTCAATTTAAAATCTCTTTTGAGTCCATAAGAAATGTCCTATGCCCAGAAAATAAAATTGATTTGTAACTTCTCAGAACCCTTTATCCGAGAACGAAAGGAAAAAAAGGCATGAAGGTTTAAATTTACCTTGGTAACTTGTTCGAAGAGATAAGGTCTTGTTTGTATTCTCTTCTTCATTTCCTCCAATTCTTTCTTATATTCTTTCGCTCTCTTACGGTCATTATTCCTGGAATTAACAAGATTTCTAGAAAGAATTCTGTCATTCTTGAATCCAGAATGCCCTTCATTCCACATAAACAGAGGCATGCCCATGTATACTGTAATGAGCACAGGAGCCTACCCTGCGGACTCCTGTTGATGTTAGACCCAAGACAGCTCCCCCCGGCCCCTGTGGGAGACATGGAGGTCACTGACCGGTTCTCTCTCAGCTTGGCTTTGAACACCTCCTCCAGACTTTTGTGAGGATCCAAGGCCTTTGCCCGCAAGGTCACAGATGTAGACATGGCTTGGCACTTCTTCTTATGCATTTCCAACCACCGAGTGCTCTCATCTGCTCTGTCTCTTTGTTCAAGTGAGCTTCTAAAGGGAACAGGCCAAAAATGAACATGGGTAATACATACATCTGAGTCTGTCTTAGTTAACCTCTTGGAGAGTAGGCTGGTGGTGCTGAGGATGGAGTGGGTAATTTGCCATAGCAGACATTCTCAGAAGGAGAGCTAGGATTCCGTGCTCTGGCAGATCCAGCCTTCCCAACACGGGACAGTGATTTCCTCCCCCAGAAGCTGTGAATCCACCCAACTAGGACACAGGAGTTAAAATATCCTTATTTAAATAGACAAACATTCGGTAGGTCTTTCCTGACTTTTAATACTAATAGCTAGAGCTTGAACGAAGCCCATATAGGCACAAATAAATGCTTTTCAAAATGTTACTTTATGTAATGTCCATACCTGCCCTATGACATCAGGTCTGTGAATCTATACCACCACCCTACCTGCTCCCCCTTTTAACAGCTGAGGAGATTGCTGCTTAAAGAGGTTAAGTCACCTTCTCAGAGCTGCATAGCATGCCAGTGGCAAGCACTTGGCCAGTGTGCTTCCACGGTGGGCTGGAAGGCACCAGGGTTTATAGCCCTTTGGGAATACAAGTTGGCATTCCAAAGAGAGCTCGAAATGGGGCCTTCTACAAAGAACACAAATTGAGGTCAGTTTGCATCACTTAGTAAGTTTGTAGATACGCCCCACTAGGTCCCATGGAGAGTTCTACCAAAAGGAAAAACCCGAACCTTCAAGGTTTGCATTTGGATGTTTCCATCCATTAGAATATAAATCCGAGTAGGTCCTTGAGGGTGAGGTTCAGTTTAAGGGCTGGAGTCTCAAAGTCCTGCTTAAACTCCAAACCAAACTCACCCCTGTGAGTCTCCAAGACCAAATCTTCCTGGCAGTCAAGAGCCCTGTTTGTCTCTGCCCACGGGGAGCTCTCCCGCTCACTTCAGCTCAGAGCCCCGGTGGGTGAGTGAGGAGCGTGGAGGACACGTGCCTCTGACCCCTGAGGCCTCTGACAGGAGAGAAGGCTCTGCAGCAGTGTGGTCTCCAGTTTGGGGGCCAAGGTCAGAGCATCTTGAGTCTGCTGTGCAGCCTGCTCACTCACCTGACTGCGCACTGCCTCTTCCTGGTGGCGTCCGTGATGTGCACGGGGAGGGTGTTGGCCGAGAGGGAAGCAAGGCCACTCAGAGAACGGCTCCTCGGCAGGGGAGTGGTGGGTGGCTGTGCGGAGCCCTAGGAACAACAACAGCTGGTCTTGGTGCATTGGGGTCCAGGATTCGCTTCTAAGCTAGGACTTTTATTTCTGTGAAGGCTAGTCAGACTGAGAATCTTCGTTTTTCTCAGGGAATAAGATCTCAAAGGAACAAAACCAAACCCACTGCTACTAAATGGACCCAACTCCAACTTAGAGACCCTCCCTATAGGGCAGCGCCTCATGGGCCCATGAGGTTTCCAAGGCTGTTCAACTCTCAGGAAGCAGGCTGCCACAGCTACCTCCCACCGACCTCTCAGTTCCTCCTCCTACTGGACCTTGAGTCCAGTGCTTTCACCACTGTGCCACTCGGGCAAACCGCGACGTGGACATTAATCCAAAGGCTTTTAATCCAACAAGAATCCTAGAGAATTGAAACAGGAACACAACGATCCCAGCTGCCTGCCTTCCAGGTCTTAGACTAAAATCTGTACAATCCTTCCATTGACAAGGAAGGGAAAGGAGACGTTCCTGTATTATGGGCCTGCTTACAGAGGAGCCAGTGTTTTACAAAATGTGTGCCTACCATTGAGACCTGGGCGCATCCCTGCGTTTCAGGCCGCAGGCCCTGACCCTCCATGACCACCTGTACTCTTACCCTCTTCCCTGCAGGGGTGCCGGCGTCACCCGGCCGTTGAGTGTGATGCAGGTTGGCAGTTCTCAGCAAGAAGGGTTTGTTGTGGGTCACCTCTCTGGTTTCCCTTCTCCTGGCAGCTCTCCTCTGGAAGGCCTTGTAAAGGCCCTCATAATCGGGGATGGTGGGATTCACCCGAGGTTGGAATTCAAAGTCAGTCTGCAGAAACCCCAGCTTCTTCTCCCGGGTCCGGGTGGCGGTTCGAGACTGGGGGTCCGGCCGGCTACTAGAGGAGGCAAGAGGGGAGGAGGCCATCTGCAGCATGTCGAGGGCCCTCATCTGGATGCGAATTTTCCTGAAGAGCTCAGCTTCTGTGGAGAAAAAAATCAAATCAGGGTGGTGACAGGAAGGACCAAATCTCATACCCAAAGGTCTACGGAACGTTCCCCCCTTTAAACACTGGCAGAAGCACGCTGTAGCCAACTTAATTTCTTGAAATTCTATGAGTCGGCATCGTGTGGGAAGCTTGAAACTGCCCACAATGAAAGTATTTATACCACTGAAAATGGCAAACACCTCAAATCATTCTATTTCTCTCTCTTGGTTTGGAGAGCTGGTTGGTAAAGATTGATCAGCACGCTGCTGCCTGCGTGCCAGCCCTGTCGGGGGAACAGCCATTGCTATGATGATCGCCAAGTACTTCCCACAAGTCCAGCTTCAAAGACTAGAAGCAGGAGGGGGTGGGTCGGTACCTGTGTCCCCCAAAGGTTTTCTATCCTTTTGCATCTCAGAAAAGCCACTACCATCCACCCACCCAGCTGCCCACACCTACTGCCGAAATGATTCATTCCCCTTCCCTCTCTCAAAGGTCACAAGTCTGCAGTCTCCTGTTTTCCCCTCTCACCGCTCCATCTTCTTTCCATGGCCCCTGCTGCGAGTTTCCTTATTTCTCAACCGAATTACTAGTCTTCTATTAGACCAACATCTCCTGTCTTTCTCCCTCCGCCGTTAGTTATCTTCATAGCAACCAGATGGATCCTTTTGAAATGTCTATATGAGCATGAGCCACCCTGCTTAACAACCCTTCAGGAGCTCCCCCTGTGCCTTTGGGATGAAGTCCCAAATTTGCTGACACCTAGCATGGCCCACTAGGTCTCCCCCTAGGTCTGGCCTGGGCCTGGGTCTCCCTTCCCATGCTCCCTCCTCTCTCTCCCTGCGCTTCCTTCCTCTCCCTTTCCAGCCATTGGCTGTGCCTAGCTTTCTCCTGACCTCTGCCTCAGACACACCTCTCTTTCCGCTAAATCATAGCTCATTCTTTGGGGTTCCGTGCTAGTGCTGTCTCTGGAGGGCTTTCCCCAATGTCTCCCAGCCCCTCAAAACACATAGTTAGGTTTCTTGTTAGACACTCCATAGGGCCCTCTTGTGGGCTGAATTGTGTCTCCTTAAAATAAGCATCATAAATCCTGATCTCTGTGGTGCCTATAGGAGAGTCCTGATGGCACGTTGGGCTGCAAACCACAAGGTCAACATTTGAAGCCACGAGACACTCCAAGGGAGAAAGAGGAGGCTTTCTTCTCCCGTAAAGTTTCAGTCTTTTAGAACCCGCAGGGCAGCTCTACCCTGCCCTCTAGGGCCTCTATGATATGGAATCAACTTGAAGGCAGTGAGTTTTGAATAGTGACTTAGCCCCATTGGAGAATGGGTTTTCTTGGTTATGTTAGTGAAGCAGTCCTAGCACAGGGTGCATCTCAAATCTGTTTCTTGAACCAGAAGAGCAGATGAAGCAGGGAGGGGGAAGATGACTGCCAAGCTGCGCGAAGCTCCCCAAGGAAAAGGAAAAAGCCTTCCCCTGCGCGGCCATTCTGACTTCTAACTCCCAGCAGCCAGCGGTGACAACACAGTTCTGCTTGTTGGTCACCTGCGTGTGCTAGTTCTGATGTAGCAGCACTCACAGCACAAACCCAGGTCACTGCCATCGAGGGACCCCACAGGTCAGAGTAGAACTGCCGCTGTGGGTTTCTCAGACTATAAATCTTTACAGGAGCAGAAAGCCTTACATTTCTCCCTGGAAGCCCCTGATGGTTTTGAACCGCTGACCTTGAGGTGAGTAACACAACCTGTAACCCACTACACCACCAGGGCTCCTATAGCAGCATTCGATAACTGATTTTAAAAAAAATCAAACATACACTATGGAACAGATTCTGAGTCATAGAGTTTTGAAGGCTGTAAATCTTCAGAGGAGCAGACAACCTCATCTTTCTCCCAAGAGCGGCTGGTGGGTTTGAACCAACCTCGTGGTTAGTAGTCCACCGTGTACCCAACAGCATTCCCAGGGCTCCTGACTAGATAACTCAGACCCTCATTTATTTATCATTTATCGTTATCTGTCTGTTACCTGTTTTCCTCACACCGACACCACATCTGTCTAGTCACTGCAGAACAGTGCCTGGCGCACGACGCTGGCTATTGAGTAAGCAGTCCCTTATTCAGAGACTCGCCCTTCCCGTCATTTCTCCAGGAGGGACGCTTGGGAGCGCTTTCCCCAGGCAGCTGGCTAGTGGTAGCACTGGGCTGGCCTTTGGCTCTCTCATGAGCTCTCTGCTCTCAGGCACTGGGCTTGGGGGATTGAAAGGCCAACAGGATGGGCCTTGGGGGCACTTGCGGCTGAAACTTTACTCTCTGCTCCTGATGGGGTGCCCCTACTATAGAGCTAGCCCTAAACCTACCCCCACAGCCTGCACAGAGCTGTCCTGGGCAGTCTCGTGCGTCCCCTGAACAGCCCATCTCTAAGCCAGTTGGGCCCCTGAGCCCCAGGGAATCCCCACAGCACCTCTCAGTGCTCCCAGGCCAAAGGCAGTAAGGTGGCAAGGATATCTGTACCCTGGAGTTTGTCCCCGAGGGCCGGCTCCAAAACAGACTTGGGGATCTTCTTGGTGACTTTCTGCTTGGGGCCCTTGGCCTGAACCTTGGCCAAGTCCCTCTGTCGAGCGGCTTCCTTTCGTTGTTCCTCCTTCTCCAGGAAGCTGAAAGGCTTCAGAGAAGAGAGAAGCAGCTCCCTCCTCTTCTGCACCCTTGCCCGCCTGCGGGCCTCGTTGCGCTCCGTGAGCTCCTGGTAGAGGGGCAGGTAGACATGGGCAGGCACAGGCTGTGCCTGGAACTGGCGATGACACTCGGCCTCCTCCAGGCCCTGCCTCTGGGCCTGCTGCCTCTCTCTCTCAAAGAAAGAGGGAGAGGCCAGTTTCTGGAGCTTCTTCTGGGCCTCACGCAGAGTCATACGGAAGGGCTGGGGGACAGTGATGGAGGAGCCCCAGGTGCTGATGCTTCTGTGCTGGGAGGGGGGCCTGGTGATGGAAGCTGGGCTGGGCTGAGTCCGGGGGCTGTCCGAGAGAAGGTTGCTGAGAGAGCTACAGCGCCTTGGGGAGCCACACCTGGGAGGAGGAAGCACATCTGTGCACAGAGGGTAGCGCAGCCAGAGCCCTCCTTCCCACTCTTCCCTTCCGGCAGGCCTCAGCTCCCCCCACCTCCAGGCCTGCACCTTTCCCATCCAGGCCCCTCCTTCCCATAGGCCACCCAACAGCTCCAGCAGGAACTCTCCTTACAGCACTGTCCAGAAACTGCCACTCCGCACTCTCATCTTTTCATAGGAGAGAGAAGACAATAATGCAAAAACAGGGCTCTAGAGTCAGAGAGACCCCGGTTCAAAGCTTGCTTCAAGCAATTACCAGCTGGGTGACCCTGAGACAATCTCAATCTCCTCCTCTCAAGAGTGGCCACCAAAATACCCACTAACAGGCTTACTGGGAAGGGAAAATAAATAGTAAATGATACATGGTACATGCATAATGGCAGTGCTGGGCCAAGGAACATAAAGGGTACATGGCAGCTAGTCCCCTTGTCAAAGGAGCTCTGGTGGTGTAGTGGGCTGCAATCCACAAGGTTGGCAGTTCAAAACCACTACCAGCTCCTTGGGAGAAAGATGGGGTTTTCTGCTCCCATAAACAGTTAAGTCTCCAAAACACGGAGGCAGTTCAAGCCTGCTCTGCAGGGTCTCTGTGATTCGGCATGGCCTCGAGGGCAGTTTGGTTGGTTTGGGTTTTGTGGAGGTTTGGTTTTAGGGGCCTCTAGTCAATTGTAATGCTTCAGGGAACTAAGGGTGACCAACACTGTTTAAGGATGGCTGGGTAGGAACTGGGACAGTTGGTTGAAGTGATGTTGGCTTTGTGGAGGAGGAGTGTCTACTGTGAATACTACATGAAACTTCCCCAGGCCACCGTGTTTCCAATCCCCTCATACAGAGGTGAAAACTGGGCCATGGATATGGAAGACTAGAGCGGCAGGGATGTGTTTGAATTAGGGTGCTGGCAAGGAGTACCGAACCACAGACCAGCGGTTCTCAACCTGGAAGTTGAACGACCCTTTCACAGGGGTCGCCTAAGACCATCGGGAAACATATACTTCCTATTATCTTGGGAACCAAGACACAGCTCCTCTATCATCTCCAGGTGGGTCTGCCCACATGCAGATCTGCTGATCTGGTGGAAAAGAAGCTATCTCAGCCTTAGCACTGATGTTGGCTTTTTACGCCTACTGTCGCAAAATGTAGCAATGTCGTTTACTGTTGTTATATTAAGACTGTTACCTATGCTACACTATGCTTCAAGACAAAATTTCATTTGTCAATAGAAATAAATATTTCACAATATATAATTACATATTTTGATTCATCACTGATTTACTTATGTATGTTCAATTTGTAACAATGAAAATACATCCTGCATATCAGATATTTACATGATTCATGACAGTAGGAAAATAACAGTTATCAAGTCGCAACAAAAATAATGTTATGGTTGGGGGTCACCACAACATGAGGAACAGTATGAAAGGGTCGCAGCATTAGGAAGGTTGAGAACCACTGGCCTAGGCTGTCAAAAGAAGTAGCAAATCTGTTTTGGAAGAAGAGCCACCAGCATGTGCCTCAGAATCAAGGGCGGCGAGAGTCAGTCTCGTGTACTTTGGACATGCTGTCAGGAGAGAACAGGCCCCTAGACCCAGCGTGACTACCCAGCTGTTGTTCCGCAGTGCCTTACCTCAGAGCCGGGGGGCAGGGGGCCTGCAGCTTCCCCCTGCCCTCCACTGCAAAGAAACTCCCCAGCTCCGCCATGATGTCAGAGAGGCTCCCATCACTGTCAGGCTCTGACGGCTGCAGGGCTCCCCACAGGCGCCGCTGCCTGTCTTTCTCCGTCAGCGCCTCTAGGTCCTCATACAAACTCTCAGTGGAGTCCGAAGCAGAACCCGCCTCCTCTCCCAGGCTGAGGAACTCATCCAGTTTGCCAGCCCTGGGCCAGAACGCTGCGTCTCCAGACAGCCCCTCTTCTGCATCTGTGTCTGACGAGGACTTGGGAGGAAAGAGCTACAACGGAACAGACACCGATTGTGAACCAAACTGTAATTTCAGTCACTCAAAACCATAACTGGTGGCCTCACTCTGAATAAGACTGTGGGGACTGGGGCAGAACGAAGAAAAGCAGTGGTTCTCAACCTTCCTCATGCTGCAACTCTTTCATACAGTTTGGTGACCCCGAACCATCAAATTACTTTTGTTGCTACTTCATCACTGTCATTTTGCTACTGTGATGAATTGGGCAACCCTTGTGAAAGGGTCCTTCGACCCCCCCAAAGGGGTCGCAACCCACAGGTTGAGAACCGCTGCTCTAAAAACAGTCACACCCTGATACTTGGTGGTGGGTGTCCTTAGTTGTGGTGGCAGGAGAGAGAAGCCAAGAGCTCCAACTGCTTTCCCGCTCTGGTCAGGGGTTACCTGCTCCTTGCCTCTCCTCCTTGGCCTGCTTCCTGCTGCACCGCTGCTTTTCTCCTGTCCTAGCTAATTTCCAGTGAGTCAGCAGGGATGGATGGCGAGCAGGAGTGATGGCATTGTCTCATTAACATGCATTCAGCAGATATTTATTGGATGCCTAATGCATACTACAAGGGAGCCCTAGTGGTGTAGTGGTTATGTGTTGGGCTGCTAACCCCAAAGTGAGAAGTTCGAACCCACCAGCCACTCTGTAAGAAAAAGAAGAGGCGTTCTACTTTCCTAAAGAGTTACAGTCTCGGAAACCCACAGGAGTAATTCTCCCCCGGGCTTTAGGATCCCTGAGTTGGAAATCGACTCGATGGCAGTGAGTTTAATGTGTACTGAAGGGAGCTAACATCAGGGTATACAGTTCATACCTTCCGGCTGCTCTTCGGGAGAAAAATGAGGCTGTCTGCTCCCATAAAGGTTGGAAAAGCCTAGAAAACCCTACCGAGGGTCACCATGAGTCAGAATGGACTCAGTGGCAGTAGGTTTGGACTTAATGTGTCCTGGGCATTTGGTGGAGAACAGGAGAAGCATGGCCCCTCTTCTCAGGCTTCCATTCTAGTGAAGGGAGACAGATGATAAACCAGCACATTGATGAGAAACTCAGCTAAAACGGTAAGACACTAAGGTTATGGAGAGCGATGGAGTGGCTGTGGACAGCCCTTCCATAGATGAAACCTTCCATCAGATGAAGACCACTGGGCATGTACCTATAGTCAAGGCCAGGTGGCCTCTGATGGGAAACCCTGGAGAATGAAGAGGGGTTTTCAGAAAGGGGTCGGGGTGTTGCAGTAGGCCTCCCTGGTGCTGAATAGTTCTGAGGAGGGTTAGGGGAAGCAGAGCTCAACTTTCAATTGGTTGGCTAGTTGATTCATTGCAGACTGGGATAGTTTAAAAAGTGGGTGATGGAGCAATTTTTGTCTAAAAGGTAGAGAAGGTCGGCGGGGCTGGGTCATGCATGGGTGAGAAAGCATAATCATTCAGAAGAAAGGGGTGATTGGGACAGTGCCGCTAAGGTGTGGCTTCCAGGATCTGCATTTGACTTTCTCAGCCTGGTCGGTATTGTCTCACTGATCAGGAGTCCAGCCAGGGTTGACACCTGGTGGGTGAGAAGGAGCTGGCCTGGCTATGATCTGCGGTACCAAGGATCTGGGCTCAAGAAACAGCAATAGCAAAGGCCGTTGGGCAGGGCCCTGAGACAGGAACACACTTGGCTATTGGACAGGTAGAAAGAGGGCCTGTCTCTAAGTAAGTAAACACTTGGACATATGTTCAAGACTCAGTCAGGAACATATCAGAGATGCCCTCTACAGTATCGAGGGAGGTGGATTGAGCATGCTTAATCATCTGTAACATTTCAATCCAACAGCATCTTATGTCTTGACATCAACTCTGTTAACCTCATTACAGCATCATTTCTTAAGAGCCTGGAGTATAAAAATAAAAATACTGTCTTTGTAGAAAGAGGGCCAATATGGCTGCAGCCCAGAGCATGAGGTGACACCAGAGAGGCAGGCACCGGCCAGGAATGCTTCTGAGGAGGGTCAGGGGAAGTGGGGCTCAGCTGCTGAGAGGTCACTACAGCAGGTGAGCAGCTGGGGCAGTCCTTGGGTCCTCCAGGTGATGGCTTCTCCAAGTGTTCTCTGGGAAGAGCTCTGTTCCCCAGGCAGAGGTGTGCATGTGACTTTAAGCAACTGCCTTTTTTTAAAAAAAAAGCTATTTTATTGAGTGATAATTCACTTAAATGAACCCTCAGGAGTCCTGGTGGTGTCGTAGTTACTGTTGGACTACGATCCCCAGGGTTGGCAGTTCGAAACTACCAACAGCTCTGAGGGAGAAAGGCTTGGTTTTTTCCTCCTGTAAACAGTTACCGTTTCAGAACCGCACAATGGGTTGGGTCACTGAGTAAGCATTGGCTTGACATTGAGTTTGGTTTTGGTATATGAACCATACAATCCAGCAGCCATCGACAGGGTACAGGCTTTTAGTATTAATTACAGAGCCATGCAAACATTACCCCAATCAATGTTTATCAATGTTCGAGTGTTTTCATCATTCTGGAAGGAAGCCCACACTCCTTAGCAGTCCCACCCCACTGCCCCTCCCATTCCCCCGAGCCCTAGGCAACCATCCATCTATTTTCTCTCTCTGTGGATCTGGGAGAAATTTTAAAAATCTCTCAGTGCCTCAGCTTTCTCATCTACAACATGGGGACAACCACCCCAAGATCACCGGATAATTGAGAGAGAGAAGCGACACTGGGTGCGCTTGTTAGGGCGCTAAGAACAGCCTGGAGTCAGATGATGCTTCCTATTTTAAGCCCACAAAGCTTACGGTGCCGCGCCTCTGCCGGTCTCCCAGGCAACCTCAAACAGAGTCCTCTCTCGGGGACTCCTTCGGGAGCTCAGTCCTTCTTCCTCCCTCTTTCCTTTCCCTCCTCACCTGAGCGCTCCACTTGGAGCTGGGGGCCCCCGCCGGCCTCCCCACAGTCATCTCTAGCCCGGCAGGTGCAGGAGCGGCGGTGGCTGGGCGACTGGGGCCGCGCCCGCTGCACTGACGGCGGCGGCGGCAGCAAAGCGGAGTCCGGTCCCGCCCCTTCCTAGGTTTGCCCTCTGGTTGGGTGCACTGGGCAAATCGGCTGCCAAAGAGCGCTTTCAGCGGTTCACCAGCAGAGGTCACTCTTGAGTACTAAGTGAACCTGCCCCAAATCGTTGTCTTCAGTCGCCTCAAATGCAGGTGAAAGTTGGACAACGAATAAGGAAGACCAAAGAAGAATGGATGCATTTGAATTAGGAATGAACAAATCGGTTTAGGAAGAAGTGCACCTCAGAATCTCGGATGGCGAGAGTGGGTCTCACGCCCTGTGGACATGTTTCCAGTCTCTGGAAAAGGACATCGTGCCCGGTACAGAGGAGGGGCCGGGGAGAAGAGGAGACCTTCCACTAGATAAATCGACACCGTAGCTGCCTCCGTGGGCTCAACCATATAAGCATTTGGAGGATGGTGTGGGACTGGGCAGTGTTTTCGTTCATGCCGACACGGCACCTAACCACAACAACATAAACCAGTTTCCTTGCCAGGCAATTTGCAGTCCGTCCCCAACGTGGGACAGTCAGACGCCGGAGTGAGGGACCTATCTGGAGATAATCCCGCCCCAGCAAGGCGAGGATTGTTTTTGATTGGTCTAATCCCATCGTGAGTTTTATTTCCGGTTCGGAGACCGCGGTTGAGCGGCCTGTGATTGGAGGGCTCTGCTCCGGAAGCGCAGCTGGAGGCGGGCCTGGGGAGCGGTGCCCCGGGTGCCGGGCGAGTCCTCGCAGCACCATGGCGGCCCGGCTTGCGGCGTGCCGGGGGCGAGCTGGGCCTGTGGCCGCCCTCGGACGCCTGCGGGACCCTTGCCGCAGGTGGTCCGGCGCCCAGGCAGCTGACACCGTGTACGACGTGGTGGTGTCGGGCGGAGGCCTGGTGGGCGCCGCCATGGCCTGTGCCTTGGGTAAGCGCATCTCCAGGCCGGTCGTGGCGGGGAACTGGGCGGCACTGGAGCAGTGAAGACCGTTAGACCCCCGACAAAGTTTGCTTCGAGATCCCGGGTCGCGTGGGCCAGGCCCTGCTGGGAGGCACCCCAGGGCGCGTTCTGTCCTTGTGGGTCAGGAGTAAGCAAAGGTGGGAGGGGCCTTTGGAGATTGTCCAGCGCGTGGGAAAACAAGTCCAAACTTTAAAAAAACAAAAAAAACAACTTCTTTTGAGATGAATTTACATACAATGAAGTCATCAGTTTGAATTGTACATTGTCATGGTATATTTACAGTTGTACAACCTTATTCACAATAAGATCGCTTACATAGCCCCCCAACCGTACCCATAGTCGTAATCACTCCCTACTCCCCCGCTTCCCGTAACTCCTGAGAACCTCTCATTGATATGTCTATTCTGTAGAATCATGCAATATGTGACATTTTTTGTTACTGGCCTCTCTTATTTAGCAAAACGTTTTCCAGGTTCATCCATGTCCCAACATGCATCCGTACACTTTTTTAATTGAATAATATCCCACTGGGTCTAATGGAACCTTGGTGGGTAGTGGTTATGTGTTTGGCTGCCAACCGCAAGGCTAGCAGCTCAAAAGCACCAGTGGCTTTCCACTCCTTGGAAACGTTACAGCCTGGGAAACCCACAGGGGCAGCTCCTCCCTGTCTTAGCATCTCTGTGAGTTGGCATCAACTGGAGGGCAATGAGTTTGGTTTTGGTTTGGGGATACCAAAATATGTTCATCTTTCAGCCATGATGAATGCTGCTGCTATGACTATTCATGTTCAAGTTGTTTTATGAACAGTGATGAATACCCGTAAGAGTAGAATATGGTAACTGTATATTTAATGCTTTAAAGAACTGCCCCTCCCCACCCCCAGAAAGAACTACCTAACTCTTTTTACTAAGTGTCTGTGCCATTTTATATCCCCATC